TTTTCTGTTTTGTCTGGTGGCAAACAGGTCCACTCGGGGAGATCCCCACCTCTAGAAGATCATGCAGGCTACCTCCAGGTGGAGCGACTACTCGTGATGAGAGGAGAAGACCCTGCTGAGGTGATCCGCCAGTATGTTTCTGATGCTGGGAAGATGACAAGCTTCCAAGTGGATCTTGTAGCTGATGCAGAAATGCCACTTATGGAATGCCTCTTGGCAGAGACCCGACAAGCGTGCTCCCCCTTGCCTGTTGATGTAGAACATCAAGGCTGTGTTGTCCATCACTCTCACCGCTTTGCCCATCAGGTGCGGTAAGAAGACTCCTCATGCCAAGCGGACCACTCTGAGCTCTTTGATGTTTATCTACAACATCTCTTCTGGGGACCACATGCCCTGGGTCTGAAGGTCGTCGAGATGCGCTCCCCAGCCGAGGTCCGAGGTGTCCGATATCAACTCCATCGAGTGACAAGGGCTCTCAAATTGAACTCCCTCCAGGACTGCCCTGGGGCTGGTCCACCACTACAGCGAGGTAAGTATCATCAGTGGGATGGTAACGACCTTTTCCAGGTGATCTCTGAACTGGGAATAGACCGTCGCCAGCCACAGATGTAAGGGGCGCATCCAGAGCCTGGCATGGCGGCTGACATACGTACATGCTGCCACCCTGCTTATTGTGGGTTGAGCCCGACTGGGCAGAGGGTGGAGGTAGGTGGCTGGGGCGGCGCTTGCCAGGGTTGGCTCCCTTGGCACCGAGATTGCTGTGGTTTGAACCGCTTACAGGCTGGACTGGGGACGTACAGCCCTAGAGTTTTCAGGGTAGTGCAGGAGTCCTTTAGTCCATGCAGCTTACTGTCTGTCTGCTCTGCAAACAGGGCCTGGTCGTCAAAGGGGAGGTCCTGCATCGATTGCTGAGCTTCAGTCAGCAAGCCAGAGAGGAGCAGCCAGGATGCCCGCCGCTTGGAGATGGCTGAGGCCATGGTGCGAGCCACCGAGTCTGATGCATCTGAAACTGCCTCGAGGGCCACTCTGGCTGCAGCTGTGCCCTCCTCGAGGATCGCCCGGAATTCCTTCCTGGACCATTCGGGAAGTGAAACCTCAAACTTGGCCATGGCCTGCCACATGTTATAATTGTAGCGATCAAGGAGGGCTTGGTGATTGGCCACTCTCAATTGAAGGCTGGAAGACGAATAAATTTTTCGCCCAAACAGATCCAGTCTCTTCAAGTCTTTATTCTTGGGCGTAGCCCTGGTTTGACCCTGCCTCTCCCTCTGATTAACAGCCTCAACTACGAGTGAGTTTGGGACCAGGTGAGTGTACAGGTACTCGTGACCTTTAGCTGGCACAAAGTATTTGCGGTCATCCCATTTTGAAATGGGGGGCAGGAAGGAGGGGGTTTGCCATAGGACATTAGTAATTTTCGATACCTCTTCATATAGGGGCAAAGCCACCCTAGCAGATGCCGTAGAGTAAAGGACGTCGAACAGGGTATCCACTGGCTCCTTTAGCTCCTCTTTGTGGAGCCCAGGTTGGAGGCGACCCTCTTCAATAGTTCTTGATGAGCCTTAGCATTATCTTGTGGAACTGGGTGAGGAGGACCCGTAATAGCTTTGCCTGGAGACGACGAGGAAGAAGCCAGTGCCATAGGAGCTGTCATATCCTCTGGTGGTCCCACTGGCTGTTCCTCTGGGTCCTCATGGGACTGGGGGGTCTTCTCTTCTGGGGCCTCCACCTCCGGGAAGGGTGGGATGCTGAAGCCAAATGGCCTATCCGAGGCTCCCGACATCGACCAGATGGCCTGCGAAGGTTGGGTAAACTCCCAAGGGTTCCAGGGTTACCAGGCCGCTGGCCACTGGCCTTGGAGCCACGGGGTCGGTTGCGGTGCCGATGACGTAGATGGTACCGCCGGTGCCGGGGCTTGTCCCAATGTCAAGAACTCCTGCTCAGTGCCAGAGCCAGAAGCAGAGTGGTTGCTGTCAGGTGACCATGATTGGGCAGACTGTTGGCCCTTCTCTGTGTAGTGCCAGCTGCTATGCCTAGACATAGACCTGTGCGATCGAGACGAGTTCCTCACGCAGGACCTTGGGGACTGGCAGCGTTTGGCCGATCATCGTTGGTAATCCGTCGATCTACGCCTCATGCTGCTCGACTGGTACCAGGATCTAGACCGGGCTCGGGAGCTGGAATGGGCCAGTTGTTGGATCTCCCTCACCGTGGGGATCCGCGTCTTGGCAACAGGTGTCAGCAGGTGAGTGACTGGTGGCTCTGCTCAAACTATCAGTCGCATGATCAGTGCCGAGGCATTGGAGACATGAAGGGTCGGTCTTGATGCTCTTGCCGGGGGGCGTGTGCCTCTGTAGGTATGCGCCAGGTTACCGGCGAGCTGCGCCTCGAATCCTGCTGTCAGTGCCCAGGGTCCGGAGCCTGAAGAGGGCTTTGCTGAGCTGGCCTCCCAACTTCTGATGGGGAGCGGTGCTGCTGAGGAAGTGACACACAGGGAGATCCCAAGGCGGATTTACCCCTGCACTGGGATACTGCCAGAGCCGGTATGGGTGGCACTGGTAGCATCAGGATCTCCTGCGCTGCCTGCAGGGCATCGGGTGTCAATGGGACCTCCAGTTGACAGAGGCCCTCGTCACTGTCTGGCGTGGCAGGCATGTTACGAGATGGGCTAGACCACTCAACTTGAGCTGGGGCCCGACTCCCTGACAGAGGTGCTGAGCCGCCCAGCACAGGTCTTAGCTCTCCTCCGGCCCTCTCCTTTCCCTTATGGCAGTGTTTCCCAAACTTGGGACGCCGCTTGTTTAGGGAAAGCCCCTGGCGGGCCGGGCCGGTTTGTGTACCTGCCGCGTCCGCAGGTCCAGCCGATCGTGGCTCCCAGTTGCCGCGGTTCGCCGCTCCTGGCCAATGGGAGCTGCTGGAAGCGGCGCAGGCCGAGGGACATACTGGCCGCTGCTTCCAGCAGCTCCCACTGACCTGGAGCAGCGAACCGTAGCCACTGGGAGCCGCGATCGGCCGGACCTGCGGACGCGGGCAGGTAAACAAACCAGCCCGGCCCGCCAGGGGCTTTCCCTAAACAAGCGGCGTCCCAAGTTTGGGAAACACTGCCTTACGGGAAGTGGGAGATCTTCCCCTCGTGGTCCTCTTTGGCTTCTTGGCCGGATCCAGGAAGGGGGATCGGTGCCGGCTTGTAGACGGCGCTGGCGGGGCACTCTGCACCGACGCTGTGGTGCTCGGGGCCGAGTCAGATTTCTGGTCCAGTGTCGGCATTAGCACTGACTCCATCAGGAGTGCCCGGAGACGGATGTCTCTCTCCTTTTTTGCCCGGGGTTTAAAGGATTTACCGATGTGATACTTGTCGCTTATGTACCCTTCGCCCAGACACCTTAAACAGCTACTGTGCGGGTCGCCGATGGGCATAGGCCGCTTACAACGATCACAGGCTTAAAGCATGGGGACCGGGGCATGAGTCCCATCTGGGTCTGGCTAAATTAGAGCCAACACTAAGGGAACTATTAACTACGTACAACTATTTTACAGGAAAACTTTCCTAAGAAACACTGAATGAGCACAGACGTTCCAGCACCATCACTGGCGGCAAGAAGGAACTGAGGGTGGGGGGAGCCAGAGGGCGCCAGAGCTGGTCCCCTACAGATACTACTGAGGGGAAAACTTCCGGCACCAGTGCATGTGGCGAGCACACACACCTAATATGAAATGGACATGAGTAAGCACTTGAAGAGGAGGAGGAGGTTGGAGGATATTTTGCTTTATCTCACCCTCACAGAGTTAAGTTTCAGTCTGTCCCTGAGTGCGAAGCATTATGGTAGTCAGAACCAATGGATCTAGTGTGACTATGGGCATGGTCATCAGTGGACCCTGATGGGAGTCAATCAGTATCATCAAAGAGGAGTCCAACTTGGAAATTTCAGTTGGTGCTGATCTTTCAGCTTATGAGTTAGAGCCAGAGCCAGAACCGACGGATCCTTTCTCCTTCGCGCCTTACCCTTGTGGCCAGAAGATTTAGGTGGACCTAAGTTTTTAGGACTCTCTCAACTTGAATAGAGACAGAAAGGGATCCTTTCTTTTAAGAGCAGATTTAGAAGGGGATATGTTCTTATGTCTATGAGAGTGCCCCTTACTCTCATGAAAGGCCTAAGCTAATGATTCCTTCGGAAGTTGGGCTTAACAACTCTGGCCTCTATTCCAGAGCTTGTCCTCAAAGGGGCACTGCTCATAGCCTGAAGCCGATGTACAGGGAATTCTCCCCATCCTGGATCTGATGGGGGTCTCATGGCCTTCTCCACAAGATACTTCCTCAGTCAAAGTTCTCGTCCATCTCAGTTTCAGGGAGGGAAGCAGCAGCAGTTGCTGCACTTGGCAGAGATATAAGCCTCCCCAAGGCAGTAAAGGCAGCATTAGTGTTCATCACTGATCGAGAAGGAGCAGGTATAGGAGAGACAGTTCTTAAACCTTGGGACTCTGGGCACAGTCCTTCTCCCAAAGGGAAAAATGGGAAAGGTCCCTGAGGTGGGGGAAACTACTAAAATGGTAAAATACTAAAACTATGTACAAGATGTTTATAGATAGGTAGACAATACTCTTTGAAGACAGCGGATTCTGACTCAGGCCATGCTGCAGTAAGAAGGAACTGGAGAGGTGTCAGTTCAAATCACCCCTTATACCTTCGGTATGGAACAGGAGAACAACTGCACAGGTGTGGTCCAACAGACATTATTTGCTAGAAATCTCTGGTCTCAGGTGCATGACGCGCCTGTGTGCCCACATGTGGAATACACATAGGGACCACCATTCAAAGAAGAAACTAATTTAGACAGGTGTTTTTACCATTGTATTGTTCAACTCTGCTCAGAGTGGGGATAGACAAAATGGTGGTGAAAACAGCTTAGTCTGCTTGAGCCCTATCTATGCTACAGCTCCTGCCATTGCTACCACCAGGGGTGAATTAAGGATCACATTTTTCAGTGTAGATGCAGCCTATTCTAAGACTTTAACTTAACATTTGTTACTGTAAAACTTCCATTTTGTTCTGATGCTGTTAGACGATTACTTTTAAAGTTTAGATTTATCAACACTGCAGCATAAATAAAAAAAACAACAAATTCACATATTTACAAAATTATCACAATAATTCTGAATTGATCTATCATTTGACTTTCACGATAATTTGGAGACTTTTAATACAATTGTTTCCTTAGATATCTTTTCTATTGATTTTAAGCATGTATATAGCTGCAGAAGAACAGAAGGAAATACATTGCAAGGTCATTTATTTTAATATGGTTACATTCACTTGTGAGAACAATGAATGCGTAATTCAATATGCAATTTAACAAAGGTTTATTTTGTCTTCAAAACCATACCACTTATTGAAACATAGAAAGCAGGAAGGCCAAAACAATTCCTAATTCTCAGGAACCATTCTTTTTTCAACTTGAAGCATGCATCTTGATAAAGCTATCCTACCCAGGCCCTGGCGAGTAAGCCCAATTCTGCAAATTCCATTTACTTCATTGAGATTTGAAGGTGCTCTGCGCACCTTCTAGAAATGGGCCTAAAATGTGAATATTTACATGGAGACACAGGGGAAGAAAGAAAACTTTCCATTCTCCCAATCTGTATTCTAATCTAATACTGTGGAGGCTCTTCCAGTCATCTATCTTTGTGAGAGAGATTGGTTATGGACTCAGTCAGAAAGAACCTGCTTCAGACTGTGATTGTGAATAGGGAATAATACACATGGAATCAGGTCCATTAATCTGATTATGATATAATGTATGGGAAAAGGGTGGATACGGTGTCTGTAATTCAGGCCACAGGAAGGGAGAAATGTTTGGCAGTTGCAAAGTAATTTCACAGCATTTAGACAGTAGAACTTGCCTGCTGGAAAAAGGCAAAATCTGTTGATCTTAAAACCTCTGAAGTCTATGATGATTCAGAGGGCTAGCAGGTGCTGAGTCTATAATTTGTTGGTAAGACCTACAATTAATTGTACCAAATTGGTGACAATTGAAGTGAAAACATTAACTATTTACCTGCTCATCATTTTAACAAATACCCAACTTCTGAGACTGTGAATGAAGGTTCAGTAGAAAACCATCTTTGATATTTAGGCTGCAATAATCTTTAATGAAAAATCTGTCTTTAAACTACAATTCTAGATGGTCAATTAAGTTACCCACAGATTTTAAGTTAAATTTTACTTTAGATCATAATTAATTACTTTTAACAAAAAGGGGGCAAAGAGTTAATTTGAAGAAGATTATCTGGTGCACTGTCCATTTGGTACATACAATGACAATTATAAACAATAGGTTACACCAAAATAATTTTACCTAAATCTTCTCTACTCTCCACACCAGTGAAAAAACTGCTAGCACGTATTAATTTGTCATCATCAAAATCATCCCAAACTTCATCTCCCAATTCAAAGTTCACATTCAAAGCCTCTGAAAACCAAGAGCTGCTTTTATCTGCATTAGTAAAATTATGCATTAAAGATTCTTTAAGATTTTTCTTTGACGTCATCGTCTGATGGCTCTCCTCACTTACAGTCACAGAATGTTCCCAAGAGAAATCTGTAATGCAATTATAATAGGGATGTAAAACTCTGGATTGCATGCTTAAGACTATTTGTTCAACCTATAAAAAAAGCAAACTATGTTAGCTACACACTTTTTCTCAACATTATTTTAAGAAAAGTCATCTTCACTCCAAATTCCAGCAAGTGACCCTTATAAAGAATATTTCAAGTCACCTCTGATTTAATTTTTTTTCCAGTGTGAGAACTGTGGTCTGGTGGAGTGCAAGTTTAACACTGATGAGCCCAGTCCCTTTACCTTCCCCCATTCATTTGCTCTTTATTCACTCTATTTAGTATTACTCACTGTCTCCCTCTCCTATAAATTCAACTCCCCAAGAACTAATCACAGCAGACAAACACATTTTAAACAATTAATTTTAAAAGCATTTAACTAAAATATGTTAAGATAGCTGAACTAAAACATTATGTGAGAGTACTATGCAGAATGGAAGGGTTTCCATTTCCTTTCACTGCATGAGTAGCAGAAATGAGCATGAGCAGATGTGGCGGCAGTACACTTCTGGAGATACACATTCATGTTAGCAAAATAAGTAGAAAATACTGCTCTCTTTTGAACACTGGAAATAGAACACAATTGTATACTGTAAATCGGCCTGTGCTAGAAATGGAAAGCACGTAATATGCAGTGTATGTAAGTGAAAATAGCTTATGTGGTAGGATTGGGACCTTCATCAACAGTGATGGGAAGCAGCAGTAAAGTTTCATTGATTATTGAGATATACTCACATTTATGGAGAAATTAGAACCTTGAAAGGTATTAAAATAAAACTTCAGTTTTTAATATAGATAGAGTGAGAGGTTTTACTAAATGTTAATTTAGCTGTTTTAAGGGCCCAATCCAGCAAACAATACAAAGCATAATGCTCACTTTTCACTCAGATACTCCACTGATGATGGGAAAGGTGTGTGAAAAGCAGAAGGAGATAGAGATAAACTATCTGATGCATTACAATTGGCATCAATGGGAATAAGCACAGTCATAAGCATCAAACTCGGTAATAAGTATTTACAGAATTAGGCCCTAAAGTATTAGAACTAACCACTACAGTTTTCCTTTAAGGGACATTTATTGGCTGAGAGCTCTGCTTGCAACTTTAATTGATTTTAGAAGAAAAGCCAATGTCAAAGCAAGTTCCTTGCCTTGACAGAGCGTATTGTATTGCCCTAAATATGCAGTTCCCTGCAGCACTATGGTGGTTGCTGTAGTGATTTCAACAGGTTTAATTTTGCAAGAAACATTTAATTCAAAACAATGAAAAAAATCATAGAAAATCTCATACATTAGTAATAACTTACTACTCTTTTCATAACTCTCTGATTGCAGTTGGTTCTGAGGTCTACCAAGGATATTAACATTACTCCAGTGTTCTCGTGAAGCTGAGGCAGAAGACTGTGCATAGTCAGACCTTCATACAAATCAGTAAAACAGAGTCACAAGAAAGTTGCATTTTAAAAATAATTTGATTCAGAAAACACGTCTTCACTGCTTATGCCAATGAGAGAATTTTAACTGAGCAGGTTTTAAATTCTATTATACTTATAGCAATAATATAGTACCTTGGCAACGCTGGCAACAAAGATTTCGGTGTAAAAACAAATTGTTTCAGATCCACATTTTGAGATTTATTTAACTGTATCTGCATCTAAAAAAAGATCATTACAGATGATTAGTGTATTATTGTATTTTAATAGTCTGGATCACACCACTTGCACTTTCCAAAGAATAGGGAAGCCACTATAGGAAGAAAGTTATTATTCATATTTTATAGAATTAATGCACGAAATGTACAGCTATCTGATGGAATAGATTTTTTTTAAAGTTTTATTATGCACATTATTCAATTTAGCCAGTGAGATCTTGGAGTAATGCAAGTATCTCAGCAAGCCCAGACTGTTAACCACATTTCTTTCTCGGTTATCTCTGGGCCAAATCATCCTCCACTGCAGAAAAACCTGCAGGGAGGGGGAAATAAGCATTGCAAAAACTCAGATGCCACATTCTCCCCATAGGGAAGAGGGGTTTGCAGGCACATCCAGGGGGCAAAGTGCTTAGCCTTGAAACTCTGTGGAGTCTAAGAATCTAAAAAGAATGTTACTCTTAAAACCTCCTCTGGCACCGTAATTCTCTCAGGACACCAGTATTAATTTTTACTTATAATTTCAGGTAGTATTTCCCTAGGTTGTCACATAGAGTGGTGGCTTCCAGCTATGCCTGCTACACAGTCCACTATACTTTCCTAAACCTGCAGAGTACAAATCAGGCAGTGTTTGCAGAGAAAGGCTTCCACAGGCTCATGGGAAGCATACCACTTAGCAGCTATACCCTTCCAAGATGACTGGGCCTTTCCCATCCTTTTTGTGCTCCTTTGCTATTTCCATATTTCACAGCAATGGGACACATTTGATCCTATGTGTCTATATGTGTTTAATAAAATGCCTTCAATCTACCAATACTTATATATTCAATAAACACGATTAAATAATTTTTTTTTCAGGAGTGTGTATGTTAAAACGAACCTTTAATTGTTTTACTGGGGGAACTGATGAAATTGAGTTTCTGTTCCTTAAATCAGCTAGGTATGAAGAAAACTTTGAATCTCTCTTTAACTCAGATTTCTGTGAAACTCCAACTTTACCTAAGAAAAGAGATTGAAGATTCTTCAGATTACATTTTAGGGGTAAAATACAGGCCCCATTTGAGTCAATGGGAATTTTGACTTCAACAGGGCTAAGATTTCATCTTTGATGTTTTATAAAAGACAAATTTTGATGCATTTGTTTTCATACAAAAATATGAAAAGCTTGACATTGCTATCGAATTCTGTAAAATATTACTCTTCATTGTATTCGCTACAGAATAAATCTACTGCAGTTATTAATAATTTTTACTTTTTAGATTGCATTATATTGACATTTAAGCATGATTCTCTTGCTTTGTACTCTTTTTACATCAATGTCACCATTAATATCAACAAAATCCTAATTTACGCTTGTGTAAATGAGGGAATTAGATCCTTTGAATTTAGATGTTAGAAATAATGAGTTTTCATGAAACTCACAGCAGTCATGTCCACATACATCTTTATTTTTACAGTGATGGCTGCATTCTCTGTTCCCAAGTTTCATGTAGGTGATCTCTCGGTTACAGGCACCTCCTGAGGTAATATAAGAAGAAGAAATGCTGACGTTTTTCTATTTCACTGATTTTTTTGAGGGTTTCTCAGGGAGAAAAAGAAACAAATGGCACTAGATTTTTGTTCACCTCCAAATAACTTTTGGGTCAAAAAAGTCAACTGCTACATGTTTGCCAGAGACACTTCCCCTTTGGGTTGCTAAGACTGTTTTCATAGCAAAGCAATAATTGTCCCCACTAAAAGCTGTAAGCATCACCTCAACACCACTCTAAAACTCTGAAAGCATGAGGTACTAGATGTCCAACTTCTCTCCCAAATTCAGTTCCCTATGGAAACGTAATGCACTACCTGTTGAGTCAATGGAGCAACACTCTATGCCCTTGTTGGGACTCGATGGAAATAGTCCTAATTGTCTATACCAGATTCAAAGCCATTGTACACTAAATTCCTTAATATATTCTAGTGTGTTTTCATACAACATTTTACTCAAAAGTGAGGAAAGATGACCAAATATGGGGCCCAGTCCTACTCATATTGAAGTAACTGACCAAACTTCCATTGACCTCAAGAGGTGCAGGATGTGGGACTCTATTCTTTAGAGTATTATTAATTACCTGTATCCTTTCTCGCTGCTGCTGATCTTATTGAAGAGGCATGATACATAGGTGAAGACTCAGCTTCTAATTTTCTTTGTAAAACCACTTCATTTCCAAACCTTTTTGGTCCTAAGTAAAAGGCTGAATAGTTTTGCTGAATATCCACCCCAACTTTTAGAAATGATCCACAAAAATGTTTATGTAAATATAAAAAAATATTTTTCAATTACCATTTACTGTACTTCCAATTTTATAATGAACAGTGTTATACAGTATGTTTTCATAATTTACCATTATAGTAATATAGTATTTTGCATTTAATGTTGTGGTTGAGATTTAAACAAAAAAAATTCTGGAAATTTAAAGTTATGGTTCCTACAAGAATCATTTAGCTAATCTGTACAGTATACACTGTTCACTTTAAATGTGTATATGTATTTGTTTTAGGAAGTGGGACTGTGTCTTGGGCATTTCTGATCCAATTTTGAACAATTTTCACCTCCTTAGCATTGCATTGCAAGCTGCTGTTAGAGAACATTAGTAGCACTATTTGCAGCTACACAAGAAGTACAACTAAGTGCTGATAGTACTTTTGATGTTAAATGCTATTAATATTTACAGCTTTGGACAACAGAACAATCTACACAAGGTTAAAGACTAGGAGGGATTTGCCATTAAGAGAATCAATGTTAAATCAGGCAAATCTGATATGATGAATTGGTATGTGGCTCAGAACTGATGGAGAGGAGATTGGAAAACTTTGGGGATGGATGGGGTGAAGTGTTTTGGAGTCATCTTCTAAAGAGTTTTGGGAAGAAGGGCTCGAGTTAAATCCTAGGGAGCAAGGAGAGATGACTGGTAATGTATATGACATTTAGATGAAACAGTTACATTAGAAAAATCTCATTATTAATGCTTTTAGTGTAGTATGCCATACAATAAAACAATGAATAGAATATTATTTTAAAATTAATTCATTTTTATTAAATTTTTGGCTTGGTATAAAGGAAACTGGTTTCACTATTTATTCAATATCTTTAAAAGTATATTTTAAAGTGCTAATCATATCAATAAACCTACCATATTCAGAGCTAATTAAATTTATGCTAAGTTCCTCAGATTTAAGAGCTCTTTTCACTTCAATTTTTTTGGTCCAATTTCCATTTTTCAGCAAGACAGAATCCCTGCAACATATAATAATATAATGATATTAAGTATACACAATGGACAGTAAGATAGTGGTAAACATTTTATTAAAAGAAGTCACACTATTTGTGATGCTAGCAGCATGGAAATCTAATAAAAGACCATAGAGCAGTTTTGATTCAGGGGATCTAACTGATGAAGGGTCTCTTAAAAACATTTTCAATAGGATGTGCCCGCACGGCCTGCAGCCCTAAGATAGCCAGGGTCCTGAAGATGCAAGGTGCAAAGAGCAAGCCTTCCTCTTTGTGAGGACTTGATCAGGACCCAGGTGCAGGTCATCTAGTTGGAGAAGATTTATTTTACTCTTTGTTTCCCATTCCCTTCAAGTACAGCTCATCCAACTGGAGAGAGTGTGTCTAATTCCTCTGCCAGGTGAAAAAAACCTGTGTAGGGAAGGTAGGCAAGTGCTGCCTACGTAAATAATTCAGTACCTAATTTTCATGAGTAACAATTCAAAAGCTTCCTTTCTATTAGCATTAAGTAATGTAAATTTATATTAAAACTGGATGCTTTTGGCTTCAATATAATCAATAAAATTGATAACACAATTGCACAGATATTTAGAATGGCATGACTATTGCACTGCGCCTTGTTTAGCCATTTACACCAGTGCAAAGCAACTGTAAAATGCTACGAAATCAGGAAGCACTTTATACCCATTTTACACAGTGCACAAAGCAACAGAGGATCAGGCCTAGGGAATCCATTTGCAGCAGGACTTCCACTAAAATAATAGAGATTTGGTTAGTCTCATTAATATAAAAAAATGTTACACCAGCTACATATTATTTGACTCTTCATGGAAATAATACAAAATGGCATTCCTAAAGATGTAAATAACATGACTGATCACACTTACATAATTTTCTGTTTAAAAACCACTTGATTATCAGCATCTCCTATGATCAAGGTTACATAGTGAAAGTCTGGTGCAGTTCTCTTAATCTGAAGCTGTTCAAAGTTTGTTAATATGATGGTCACTAAGATTTCAGCCACTGTATCACTATATTTTGTAAGCTAGGAAAATAAATCATACATAAAATGATATAACCAGTAAAAACACTTCAGAGAAGCCACACGCCTTTTCATGAATTTGTACACCACGCACAAAGGCTCAATTTGGACAGGTGCAATTTCAACAGAACACACATTTGTTTTGTCCACACACCAGAAAGGGCTATCATCATGAGTTCATTGCTGAGATTCTAAGTTTGAATGACTGTTCAAAGATACTCTGCACTTCTAAGATGAATGTCACAGCACAGAAAAACCCCTTCTGTTCACTGCCAAGGAAAATAGAAACCTGATTCTATGAGGGATGCACACCAGTGACTTCCAGTGGAACAGTCTGTTTACTAGTAAATCCAAAGAAAGATATGAATGCTCATCATGTATCCATTGCTGGAGTTCAAACAACAGAAATAATGATTCATGCCCTGTTTATACTAGCATTTCAAGATGTGTTATAGTCTTTAAACCAGGTGCTTTCTAGAAATGTGTTATTTGTAAAATACCTATTTTACTAGAACTTTATTAAGTACAGTAACTCCTTGCTTAACGTTGTAGTTATGTTCCTGAAACATGCGACTTTAAGCAAAATGATGTTAAGTGAATCCAATTTCCCCATAAGAATGAATGTAAATAGGGGGGTTAGGTTCGAGGAAAAAAATTTTCACCAGACAAAATAATATATACACACACACACACACATACACACACACAGTATAAATTTTAAACAATTTAATACTGGTACACAGCGATGATGATTGTGAAGCTTGGTTGAGGTGGTGCAGCATGGCAGACAGAGACAGAGACACACACGGTGTGTGTGAGAGAGAGAGATGCGCATTGCCCCTTTAAGTATGCTGATCCCACTGTAAGTACACTGCCTTTTTAAGTAGATCAGCAAGTTGAGACAGCCCGTGCTGCGAGCAAGCTCCCTCCGTCCTGAGCCCTGTCGTGTTCCCTCCACCCCGAACTATGGAGAAGGGGTAAGCGGGATGCAGGAGCAGGGGGGAGGGGGACACCCTGACATTAGCCCCCCACCTCCCTCCCAACCCCGCACAAACACAGCAAGCAGGAGGCTCTGGGAAGCAGTTCCAAGGCAGAGGGCAGGAGCAGCACATGGCAGTGGGGGGAGGGACAGCTGAACTGCTGGCACTTGATAGCCTGCTGGGTGGCTGCCGCACAGGGAACTTAGGGCAATGGGGAGCTGATGGGGGGCTGCCGGTACACCCTGGTTCAAAGCCCCCACCAGCTACCTGAAATGGGCTGCTCTTCCTGCGAGCCGTGGACAAAGCAGGCGGCTGCCAAATGACATTATAAGGGAGCACTGCGTAACTTTAAACGAGCATGTTCTCTAATTGATCAGCAACGTAAAAACGTTAACCGGGATGACTTTAAGTGAGGAGTTACTGTAATCCTAATGTTTTCAAAATATGTCAGACTGGTGATGCGAGTGAATCAACTATTATTCTATTCACCCACATAACAAGTTAATTACGGACAGCAGCGAGGCAAGCTTTCTCAACACTGCCCTGTTCCCCCATTCCAATGTCTATTTGTCTGATTTAGAAGGAGACTACTTTAGGTGAGTGAAGATAGTTCGGTCTCCATTCTTTTTCTAATGTTAAGACTGCAATGATGAGTGCTAATCATGGCAATTTTGAGAGTGGACTTTTTTCACTACAAACTAGACTGAGACCATCAACTTCTTTCTCACAAACCCCTAAAGAACCTTCCTATTATAATGACTTACAGTCACAACTGCCAGTTCTATGTGGGAGACAAGGGGCATGAGGTAATATTTTTTATTGGACCTACTTCTGTTGGTGAGTGAGACAGGCTTTCAAGCTTACATAGAGTTTTTCTTCAGGTCTGGTAGAAGAAGCAGCTTGAAAGCGTGTCATTCTCACCAACAGAAGTTGGTCCAGTAAAAGATATTGCCTCACCCACCTTGTCTCTCTAATATCCTGGGACTGACAGCTACAACACTGTATAGTTCAGTCTGGCTCAGGTTGGTAATCTAACAATCAAAGCTTCCGTATCCCTTTATTAAGTTTAATTGCTGGGTACTAATTATACCATTTAAATGATTAATCAGTGGTTAACGGAAGCCAGAACCGTGATCACCAAATTCTAGAGAAATGAACTGTGCCCATAATTTTGAAGAATTCTTATGGAAGATATAGGAAATAATTGCTTTGGAGAAACTTATGGTAAAAACGAAGTGTATTTTATATGTATGTATATTTTTCATAAACAATATAATGCTATTTCAAATGCTGATTTGAGATGGTCTTGGTGTTTTTTTCAGTTAATGATATCAGCTATTATGGGTCCAATTTGGATTACATAAATTAAAATAGAATCACAATAAATCTTGGCTGAAAGAGGTTAATACATTAAATTCTGATCCTCCATTGTTGGCATAAACAAAAATGTATCAGACACAAATATATGTATCAAAATAAACATGAACTAGCTTCACAGGAAAGAATACAGAATAAGACAAGGAAAATCCTCCTTTTCTCTTATTAATTCATATGTAAATATGTCTGGGGATGAAGCATTTATCATAGTTAACTTTTCCTTCTGAAAAGGATTTTAGAATTACCAATACATTATTCAAGCACTTGTACTAATCTACAAAATGACAGACTAAAACTGAATTGATCATTATTATAGTAATAGTCATAACACTTTAAACTTATATCAAGTTTTTTATCTTCAAAGTACAAACTGTAACTAATTGTCTTAACAATGCTATGAGGCAATTAAGTGTTATTATCCACATTTTGCAGATAAGAACGATGAGGCAGACTGGTTAAGTGACTTGCCCAATGCCAGAGAGGGAGTAAGTATCAGAACTCAGGATTTCCTGTCTCCCACCCAAAGCATTAGCTCATGCCTCCTTTGATATGCATGGTATCAATTATTTGATTCTAATCAGCTATTGTTTCTGTATGTTCCTGAATCTGACATCTAAAAACAGAAAAAAGTTCTTATTGACCTCTTTTTGCCTCATGTTTGATATTTAAGATGGAAGAGAGCTGTCAGATTTACATATTCAAAAGAGCTAGATCAATAGGTGAACTGTCTCCTTTCACATCTTTTAACATAAAAAGATTGCTGACAAACAGAAGAAACAAGAAAAGAAAGAGATCAGATATTTTGTGTAGAATGTAGACAACTGACTTAAGAAGTCTTTGAATGAACTTATGTTTCAGGAACATTTCTTATGACAATATTTCCTAAAATGGAGTGTGCCCATATAGAGGTCACAAAGAACACTCTTAGGAACACAGAATATGTATAAATTAAATGGGCAGGCCTTTAACAACACATGGCAAGGTTGAAGGGGGGCATGACTGGTTTCATTTTCCTGATGGGGGACGTACACATGTAATATTGTAATATTTTATTGAAATATTTTATTTTTACTATGTTAGAATTCTAAAGCAAAACAATCATAAAAAGCATTATCCAAGTAAAGCAAATGTAAGAAGTTACCTGTTCAATGTCAAGTTCATATTTTGGCAGGTGTAGCACAGATTCTTTTATTTGGTTTCCAAAAGGAGGATGTCGGTTTAAAATCTGAAAATATTTAGTTTTATTTCTGATATATTACAAGTCATGTATTACCAGTAATAAAAATAACTTTCAAATAAAGAAGTTTAATAAGAGAATGCACAGGATCAACTACGGACAGTTCTTATTCACCTACAACTACCCTTAATATCAAAGAAGTTGGAGGTTTCCATATCGTTTCAAGATTTGGCCCATAATTTGCAAATACTGTACTTATTATTAAAGAGGGATCATTATTTTCCAGGGATGGTATAATTTCTTCTTTCCTCATCCTGATGAAGAAATGTCTTAATTGGAAGCAGTTAATACTTCACCAACCAGGAAAGAATTGACAAGAAAAAATATCAGTTGCTTTGATGTACAATAACTGTTCAGCCACAAGCAGAATAGTCTCTCAGAGGTTGACTCTCATCTCACTCATAATCCTCAACAGGCAAGGAACTTGGAACCTACTAAACTCCTTAGTCCCGGCCCTCCTCCGCCCACAAAAAAAGAAATGATATAGAAGACTGCCCCCAGTAAAATGGATCAGATCACGCTAGAATGAATATGAACAACTTTATCTGATAAATTATACTATTCAGTGTAAGAGGGGAAAAACCCTAGTCCTGGGTAAGGGCTATTCTTGAGAGAAAACTGTGATAGCACATATATGGAAGTCCAAGCATAACTTCAGTCATACAAATAAGTGTTTTGGGACCATAGAGAGCTTCTATTGTCATTTTGGAAGGACCATAGTTCCTTAACATTACTGTGGAGTAGGAGAAAGGAGGTCTTTTAGATGTAGTATTGGCAATACCATAATAAAAGGAAGTTACTAGATGACCCAGCATCCACAGGGGTTCCCCTAAGGCAGTGGTTCTCGAACTTTTTTTTTCATGGAGCACTTGAAAATTGCTGAGGGTCTCAGTGGACCACTTAATGATCTTTCCAAATGTTGTTTGTACCGTTAGCTAACTATTGTAAAGCGATTTGGATAAAAGCACCATATTAAAAAAAACCTTAATTATAAATGTTTTTTTTGTTCTACAAATAAAAGCACACAACTCATATTTTAATATCAGTAGTCTTACCTTTCTAATGCGATGGATGTGCCCTTTCTCCCCCGTGTGGCAGCCCCTGAGCTGGGAAGGAGGGCCATCTCTCCCTGGCAGCTACAGCCCTGCACATCCCAAATTTCCCCCACCCCCTCTTCTCACCCCAGTGCCCCGTACCACCTACCCCCGATTCCCCCCAAGGCCACCACCTCACCTTACATGTGCATCTTCTCCAGGGTACAGGCACCTAATTTGTGGAGCCATGCCTGCGCAGCTCTACTAATTAGGTGGGTGGCCCTTCATTGTCTCATGTGCGGCCGCCCAGGCACGCACCTTAGAGGGAACTATCTGTGGACCACCCGAATGGAGTTCACGGACCACTGGTGGTCCACGGACCATAGTTTGAGAACCTCTGCCCTAAAGAAATGTATATTATACTAATGTTATAGGCTGGTAGCACTACCTATTAAAGTTTCCTGACATTTCCAATTATAAGACACTATTTTCAGCCACTTAAAACTCTGTCAAACTTTAACCATCAGGCTGAAATTTTCCATTTTTCAGTGTCTGTCACAGGCTGATCTTTTTGGGCAGGACGGTGAATGTTTCAGCTAAAACTGTTCAGCTTCTTCCAAGAATGAGGTTAGGGAAAAAAAGCATTGTTTTGCAATGTCAAAAGAATTCTGGTGACTTTTTCTTTGAGAAGCTCTATCACCCCCAGACTTTGGAGCAGGGAATTGACATTTGGCAAGAGTGGCCTTTGTGTTAGCGATGTGCATTTTGCTGTTCATGTGAAAACCCACCCATACTTGGCCAAATTATAAATCTTTGAAAAATCTCAGTTCTCACATGCTCAGTAGAGACTTCTTAAAGTTTAGTAGCTAAAATCTCTGAATAGTCCATCCTCAATGAGCATGCAGCCTCCATCCCCTCACAGCTCCTAGTGCTGTTCAAACTAGGCATGCACCATGCCCAAAGAGCAACAGAGCATACCTAAACACAGGAATACAGGAGTGAAATAAGGCTTTTTCTGTAATTGCTGCTCCTGTCTGCTATGGGCCGGGGCCGGGGGGGTTGGGAGGGGGTCAGGCACCAAAACTGAAAGCATGGAGCTTGCCTCCCACGGGCACTCAAGGATCCTGTGCTAAGCCCAGGCAGCATGGGAGAGGAAGCTGCCTGATTTGAATGTGGAAAGAACAAGAGCCAGACCAGGGGAAAGGAAAGGAGTAGATTGTGACAAGGAGCTTGGTGACACTGAAACTGGAAGGTGGGGGAAGGGGAGAGAGAAACAGTGACCAGGAGTTGTGGGTTGACACTGGGATCTGGGGGAAGCGTTGGACTAATTGGAGCCTGGGACTAAGAGCTGGAGGGAGGGAAGGCAGGGACTGGCTGAGCAAGGAGACTGGGACAAGAAGCCTGAGGTGTGGAGACTGGGACTGAATAGGCAAGGAGAATGGAAGAGAGCAAATATCTATGAAATACTGGTAAAATGTGTCTTATCCCCCTCTAGTGCTGGTCCACATAGCAGATGATAACCTACTCTTGCTATCATTTACTCTGTTGGCTTCAGTGGCAGAGGTCAGTGCTGGGGATCTAGAGGTTCTAACCCTGCTGATGAACCATTTGGATGTCAATATGAAGACACGTGATGGTATTTGTTTTTTCAATTTGCTTTTTTAAAAATCTAAGAAATTACACACAAAAACTATGTTAAAAGAACAAAAAGATTGCAAAGTCAAGCACACAAAAAGTTAGCTTTTGCCATCTTAATTTGGCACTCTTGTGCATATGGTTCAGGATATGGTCTCGGATTACATGACCACATATCTTTTCCTTGAGACCCCTGCCTCATTCAGTGCACAGGATGGACTTCCTCTGGACTGAATCAGGGCTGTGTAGTGGAGGGTATGGTCTAGAACAGTGGTTTTCAAACTTTTTTCTGGTGACCCAGTTTAAGAAAACTGTTGATGCCCGTGACCCAACGGAGCGGGGGATGAGGGGTTTGGGGTGGGGACTCTGGGCTGGGGATGAGAAGTTAGGGTGAGGCAGGGGGTCAGGGCTCTGGGCTGGGGGGTTCAGGCTCTGGCCTGGGGCCAGGGATGAGGGGTTTGGGTGCAGGAAGGGGCTCCAGGTTTGGGGGGGGCTCAGAGCTGGGGTAGGAGATTGGGGCACAGGGTTACCTCGGGTGGCTCCCGGTCAGCAGCGGTGCTAAGGCAGGCTTCCTGCCTGTTCTGGCACCGCAGACTGCGCTGCGCTCCGGAAGCGGCCACCAGCAGGTCCGGCTCCTAGGTGGACGCGTGCAAGCGGCTCCACATGGCTCTTGCCCGCAGGCACCGTTCCCGCAGCTCTCATTGACTGGGAACCAGCCAATGGGAATGCAGAGCCGGTGCTTGGGGCCGGGGCTGCACGCAGAGCCCTGTGGCCCCCCTGACTAGGAGCCGGACCTGCTGTTGGCCGCTTCCGGGGCGCAGACTGCTGTCAGAACAGGTAGGGACTAACCTGCCTTAGCCAGGCAGCACCGCACTGAATGTGGCAGGGATTCTGCGGAGAAAGTAATATGTGATCATATAATTAAATATTGTATCATAAAGCATAAACAAAAGGGAGCCAAATTAAGGTTGCACAGGAAATCTTAATTCTGGCATTTTCTAACTTTGGAGTACTTGACTTTGCAACTTTACTATTATTTTATCATAATATAAAAACTACATATGAGAGAAATTTAAAACCAAGGACAAGGATCCAAGTAAGGCCATCTGAGTCATTAAAAAAAACCAAACCAAATATAAGATTCCTATCTCCCTACCTCCAATGGTAACCTGAATAGCAACCTAACCAAAAAGCCAGAAATGCTTCAAACTGTTGCTCCTCTCCAGAGTAGAGCCAGACCTCAAAAAGCTGCCTTTAGTGCCTACATTAGGTATCTATTGTGACAAAGTTCCTCCTCTATCTTGGTGGGTCCTGAGCTTATTGGCGGATTTTCTTGCCTCAGAGATTCACCACGTGGGTTGGGGAACAGCCCAGAGACCTTCCCCTCTGGAAGGGCCCACAGTCCAGGTCAATTGGGAGGTTTGGGGGGAACCCGGGCCCACCCTCTACTCCGGGTTCCAGCCCAGGGCCCTGTGGACTGCAGCTGTCTATAGTGCCTCCTGTAACAGCTGCATGACAGCTACAACTCCCTGGGCTACTTCCCCATGGCCTCCTCCAAACACCTTCCTTATTCTTACCACAGGACCTTCCTCCTGGTGTCTGATAACGCTTGTGCTCCTCAGTCCTCCAGCAGCACACCCTCTCACTCTCACTCTCAGCTCCTTGCGCCTCTTGCTCCCAGCTCCTCACACTCTCGCACTACAAACTGAAGTGAGCTCCTTTTAAAACCCAGGTGCCCTGATTAGCCTGCCTTAATTGATTCTAGCAGCTTCTTCTTAATTGGCTCCAGGCGTCCTAATTAGCCTGCCTTCCTTAACTGGTTCTAGCAGGTTCCTAATTACTCTAGTGCAGCCCCTTTTCTGGTCACTCAGGGAACAGAAAACTACTCATCCAGTGACCAGTATATTTGCCCTCTACCAGACTCCTGTACCCCACTGGTCTGGGTCTGTCACACTATACTATGTTGTCCTAAACTTTAATGTATTAAATGATGAAACACAAGAAACTGGGGGGGAGGGGGGGGGGAGAAACAGGCAGAGAAGGCAAATTAAGATCTAACAAATTCCCAAATGCAAAACAAGAGTATTAATGAAGCCCACAACATTTGGAGATCTGAAACAGCACCTTACACACTGTGGGGAGAGGATGCTATCACACTTAAAAACTAGAAATGCCAAAGAAATTGTGCATCAGGAGCCCAGCAAAATTTAATCCCACATCTTTCCGCACCAGCAGTGAGATCCTGGCCTCACTGATGTTCAATGGGAGTTTTGCCATTGACTTCAGTGGGGCCAGGATTTCATTCTACGACTTTCCGCTACTAAAAGGATAATGATGAAATTCCTGAATTTGAGCTATTATTCTTTTAGTTAGTGGAAAGTTCTAGGGTGAATCTCTCTTCCCCCATATAGTAATACAAAAATGTCAGTAAAATTAAGATGTAACTTATAATTGAAGCAAAACATCAACTTAACCAACTTCAGGAAAAGAATCAACTACCTCTGTCAGATAATTGCATATTTCTTTAATCTAGTGTGATACTTTACAAGAATAAACCACTTAAAACATTGGAGTCTATAACTTATTAAGTATTAAACATTAGCATTTTCCTTATATAAATATGCATATAAAATTTTAAATACCAATTCAAGCTCCCTTGCATTTGCATCTTCAATTTTTTTAAATGATGTCAGACCTGCATTTACCATTGCATTTGATAGTGTTACACCTGTAAAAAATGAAAAATGTTGTAATATTTTTATATGGAATTCCTAATTCCAAATTATTACTTTCAACAACTGCATTATGGCAAATAAATATAAAGTATAACTAATTTTAACAAGAGGTCTTTTATCTAGCATTTTTTCAAGAGGTGGTCAATGTTTTCTTTTCAACAATAGTCAATTTTATTTCTCTTCAAGTGGTCAGAAAATTTAATACTGTTTAGTTCAATTTATACAACAGTATAAACAAAACATAAAGCAATAAAATGAAGTATAAAACATTTGAGAATGACAATGTCTTTTACTAAGTTATAGAATCAAAGGAAGGCAGATCAAGGGCCAATTCCTGCAGGCTTTACACAGGAAAAACTCCAACAGTCAGCAAATAACTAATGTGGACACACAAATGAATAAACAGCATGGCACTGAAATAAAATAAGTTTTCATGCAAGAGACTCCTGTTGACTACCCAAGGGATCCTTTAAGCATATGCTAGCAATCCCTGTGAAGTCTATCTTTTTTTGAGCAAGATATAACTAAAATCCACTCTAGGGAGAGCCATTTGTCTCCAAAATCTTCTGGGAGAACACACAGTCCCTGAACAGATTTAGCAAAACACCTGATTAGAATCAGGAAAAGAACAGGCAGTCTCTGTGATCTATTGGACTAAAGGATAAGCTAGCAGGGAATTCTGCAAAAAAAAAAAAAACACACACACAAAAACCTCATGCCTCTGCAAGTATTCCCAATTCCTCGGTCTCCCCTTGTGGGGTATGGGAGTCAGCACTTAGATTCCAAATCAGGAAATTCCTTCTTGGAACTATGACTCACTGGAATGAATACAAATAACTTGAGACAGAAAAGTCTACTTGGAAGAAATGGAGGTTACTTACTGTAATTGGAAGTTCTTTGAGATGTGTGGTCCTATCTCTATTCAACACATGGTTACACATGCTGCAAACTATATGCCCAAGTGCGAGATTTTAACAAGCAGTGTCTGTTGGCCCACACATGTGCAGTCAGGGCCGGCTCCAGGTTTTTTGCCGCCCCAAGCAAAAAAAAAAAAAAAAAAAGCAGCCGGCCCGCCGCCGAAGCAAAAACAACAACAACAACAAAAAGGCCGGAGTGCCGCCCTTTGAAAAGTGCTGCCCCAAAGAGCTGGAATGCCGCCCCTTGAAAACTGCCGCCCCAAGTACATGCTTGGAACGCTGGTGCCTAGAGCCGGCCCTGTGTGCAGTCGGTCTCCTCATTCTCCCAAGCAAGGGTATAAGAGGCAGTGCAGGTCGTTGCTCCTTCAGCTCCTCTTCTTACTGCAAATCTAATCAGATCCGAAGCAGACGGGCTGGAGGACGGGTAGTGAACTACAGATAGTGAACACACATGTCAAAGAATTTCCAGTTACAGTACATAACCTCCATTTCTTCCTCAAGTCCTGGTCCCTATGTGTATTCCACATGTGGATGATGGGCAAGCTGTGCTCAGACTGGAGGTGGATGTGAGGAAGCAGGCAGCAAAGATGCTTGCAGTACTGCAGATCCCATTGCTGAATCCACAGCAGAGGCCTGGATTAGTGCATGTCTAGCAAATGTGTTGTAAGGGACCAGGGCATAGGTGGTCTGGTCTAGAGGTCACAACTGGGCTGGGGTCCACACATCAGGGTGGGTAATCAGTGAACAGGGGTCGGAGGAAATCGCTGGAGCCAGGTTCAATACGAAGAGTCAGGATCAAAGTCAGACCGGGATCGGAGACCATAGGTAGTACAAGGCTGGAATTGGGAGGCAGGAATCAGGGTCAGAGTAAGGCTGGAGTCAGATCCTGGATATCAGAGGTTCTACCAGGCTAGAGTCAGGAGGCAAGAGCAAGGGTCAGGCTGGGATTCAAGACCAGAAATCAGGAGACAAGGTGAGGTCTGGAATTGCAGCAGGCCCAAAGTCTGTGTGGCTTCCCAGACAATTTCCTGGGGCAATCACCAGGGTTAAATAAGGTGGTTGACCAATCAGAGGACCGCAGGCTACTGCCACTCAGGGTGTCAATAGTGCTTCCTGACTATGGCTCTGCAGGGCCTCCTGATGGCACTGTGAGAATGTCAGCTGTCTTACATTCTGAAGACTCGGGTTCTAGTCCCTGTATCCATACATCATCCACTTCTTCAGAGGCATCCTTCCTTGAGATGGGCACTGAGCCTGGTTTATCTGAAGGGTCTTGACGAAACCTTTTTAGCAGGTCGGGGGCATGGACATGGACATGGGCAGCAGGTTCCCAGGAGTTTTCTTCAGGACCCTAGCCTTCTCAATTGATTAGGTAGTACAGTCTCCCCGCTCTTCAGCTTAGAGTCAGGATAGCATGGACTAAATGCCCTTGGACCTGGACTAGTGGGGGCAGCTGTTGGGACCAATCAAGAAAGGGCTCCCTCTGTGTAATGCTTCAGGAGGGATACATGGAAAACTGGATAACTTTCAAGAGATTGAGGAAGCTGCCATTTGACTGTAACAGGGTTGATTTGCTTACAAATCTGGAAGGGTCTGAGGAACTGGTGGTCTAGCTTGAGGGATGGCCTGTTCATACAGAGGTGTTTTGCTGCAAGCCAGACCTTCTGACCCACCATGAGAGCTGGGCCTTCCTGGGGGTCAACAGCCGCATACTGCTTGTAGTTCCTTTTCACATCTTCAAGGTGGTCCTTAAGTTTCTCTTGGATATGGTGAATTTGTTGGTTTCAGTCACTGGCTGCTGGGTTCGTGGAGGCTGCTGTTAAGGCCAGGTGAAAGCAAGGTTGGAACCCATAATTTGCAAAGAAGGCACAATCAGCGTTGTTGTATGAGAACTTGGCATAAAAAAGGAAGGACAACTAGTTATCTTGATGGTAGTTGACCAAGCACCATAGGTATTGCTCTAATACTTAGTTCACCCTCTCTCTCTGCCCATCTGTCTGGTAGTGGTACATGGAGAAAGTAAAAGTGTGAACATCCATTACCCAGAGGCCTTTATGCCAAATGCGTAAGACCAACTGAGAGCCTTGGTCCAAAGTGCTACAGTCTGAAAGCCCATGAAGATGGATCACATGAACTGCTAGGAGTCGAGCCATTGTTTCAGCAGAGATTAGGCCGATACAGTGGATGAAATGCACCATTTTGATCAATTGGTCTACAACAGTTAAGGCGACTGTGTGGCCAAAGGAAGGGAGTTGCACTATGGAGTCCAGGGTGATTGAGGCCCGGGGTCTCTGGAGTACTGGGGCATCCTGGTGTGAGAACACAGGTCACAAGAGTCAACATGGTCCTGGACTTCAGCTTGCCTATGGGGCCACCAGAAGAAATGGGAAGGCGTGTGGAAGTCTTAAGGTGGCCAAAGTGGCCTGTCAATGGAGAGTCATGGCAAAGATGGAGCCCTTCTAGCCGGGGGCACCTTGGTGGAATGTATATGCACCCATCGATGTAGGTGATCCTATCCTGTGTAGAGCACTGCATTTTTGTTCTGGGTCTCGTTTGCTCAGGCTGTTCCGTCATCTCCTGAACTAACAGGTTGCCCTGCAAAGTGGATCGGATTAAATCAAGCAAGTTCTGGTGTATTGTGACACTAAGGAAGTTGTGAGGTTTTAGGAGACAGGGTGGTTCTTGGTTAGACTCCTCACTCTCTTGGCAATATTCCCCCTTTCAGGAAATGCCATCGGCTTTCCCATTCCTGGTTCCTGGGTGATAGGTGATGATAAAAATCAAACTGAGAGAAGAATAATGCCTTTATTGAGATGTCTTTGGTTCAAAGCTCAAGCCGCACACAGATATTCAAGGTCAGAAAAGACTTGCATTAGGTGTTGGGCTTCCTTGAGGTTATGGCACCACTCTTCAAAGGCTGATTTAATGTATTTCCTTATCTAGTGTATCATAATTCCATTTGGCAGGGGTGAATAGTAAGCCCAGGGGTGCAACATTTGCTGTGGACCATGTCTCTGAGACAGTATGGCCCCAATGGCTACACTGGAGGCACTGGCTTCCACTCTGAATGCCTGGGCGAGGGCCGAGTGTGCTAGAATGGGAGTGGTGGTGAAAGCAGCCTTGAGCTCTTCAAGCATGGTCAACTTCGTGTGTCCAAATGAATGTGATGGTCTTGCAGAGGAGGTTGGTCATGGGGGCTCTGTGCCCTGAGAAGCCTGGAATGAAATTCTGGTAAAAATTCAAGAAGCCCAGAAAATGCTGTAACTCATGGGGGGACTGGGGCATTGCCCTGCTGTGGATGGCCTCTAACTTCTGTTGGTCCACCTAGGGAAAGGATGTAACCCAAGAATTCTGTGGAGGACTGATCAAAGGTACCTTTTTCCAATTTCATGAACAGGCTATACTTTCATAGTTTCATATACTTTCATAGTTTTTCCAGGATGGAATGAAATGGTAACAATGCTGATCAGGATTATCTGAAAACACAAGTATGTCATCAAGAAAGATGACTACATACTACTACAGGATGTCTCTAAATACATCGTTAACAGAGTGTTGAAAGGTCGCTGAAGCATTGGTCAGACCGAATGGCATTACTAGATATTCAAAGTGCCCACAGAGGTTTTTAAACGTGGTCTTCCATTCACCTCCTACCCTGATGTGTAAGCACCCCAGAGGTCCAGTTTGGTGAAAATTCTGGTAAAGTGCACATGTTCTAGTAACTCTGAGATTAAGAGTGGGGCATACCAGTTATGGAATGTCACCTGGCTCAGGGCCCAATAGTCTACATAAATTTGGCTCCCTTTGCTGGGATGAAATAGTACCTCTCAGCCCTCTTAGGTGTGGGGCTACAGGATGCTGGGCAGTGCCAGATTGATCTTGCCAGTTCCAATATGATCTCATTAACTGGGAGGGCCATTTTACTTCGGTCCTGAGACTGCAGAATGTCCAGCAGTCAGTGGTATGGGTCTTGGACTTCCTCCAGGGGTATCTAGAGATTGTTAACCACTCTTTGCAGCAACTCCTGGTATTGCCTATGATTATTTGGTGGGGATAGAGACGGAGAAACCACCTCA